TTCAATAATTATCGATATCGATCAATATGCATTTTTTTTTATCGATAAGCTTTTTTTCTATATCGTCCAGCCCTACCTCCAAATACGTCGTCGCCTTTTCTTCTTAGAGCTTTCAGCACAAACTTGCACAAATTTCCAAGGCAGCGCGTTTCACTCAGTGATCTTCATATTCCTCTTCTACTCATTTGGCTTCCAGATAGACTAGTCAGAGTAGGGCCATCTCACTGCGGAAATGAGTCCGACGAGGTTTTTAGACGTACAGTGTTTGCAGGTAGATCGCATCAGAGCGTCATGTAGCACAGTGTGAGAACAAACATCACGAGCTATGAACTCCCAATGTATGACAAAACCGCAATGTTTCATCTTACAGTGTGAGCTGTAGCTGCATGCAACGATTAAAAAACTCGCACAGTGTACGCCCGGCTTGAGTTAAAACAGATATCTGTAAACCACAACGATTCGTTGCGATGGTGCATGTTAAAAACTGGGACTAAATTCCACCTTAGGGATATGAGAGAACTAACTTAGACAAAAAACAGTTCTTGTGGCTAAAGGAGGTTCTACAAGCTCAAGAATCTTAGGGTGTACCTACTAATTCATTTTTTTACTTTATGTCTTGTCTTAGCTTAGTAGATAAATGCTCTGAACCTTTTACATGTTTCTTGTTGATTTTAGAGCTTGTTAAAATCAGAGCACAGGAAAAAAGGTGTGATTTCTCTTTACCTGGTCCGTATGTCAAACATTATCATCAGAAGCTGCAGAAGGTTTAAAGCATGAAAGGGTTTGTGAGAAAAAGAGCCTTGCCTGGATAGGGAACACGGCCTTTAGTGGCCAGCTCGGTCAGCAGGACTCCAAATGACCAGACGTCAGATTTGATGGTGAAGCGGCCGTAGAGCGCCGCCTCAGGAGCCGTCCACTTGATGGGAAACTTGGCGCCTGCAGGAGAACAGGTTGATCAGCATAACTAAGAGTCAAACCTTATCTATGAACATCTGGAATTATTGTCCCAGAGATGAATAGGAAATAAAATCTTACAGAAGGTAATCAAACTGTTTGAGGAAAGTTTATTTCTATTGCACATTGAATCTCTAAGATAATTCAAAGTACTGTAAATGAGGGGAAAAGAAAAAGAAAAGAGGGTTGCAGTAGCATGGAGGCAACAGGAATAATTCAAGAGAATAAAAGTGAATAATTAATTTATGATGATTATATATAAAAAGTAGGGCTGGGCGATAATTCAATAATGATATATATCGATCGATAGACGTGTGGCGCAATAGAAAAAAAAGCGGGTCGATAAAAGTTTGATAAAGAAACGCAGTTTTCCTTCCTTCTCATTGTAGCCTAGCATGTAGGTTTATGCTAGTCACAGCTTCCTCCCAACCAATCA